GGTCCTGTTCCTTCAGGTGTGTCTCTGGTAGACCCTCCTGTGCCTGAGCCTGTTGAGGTCACTTGTGACTCAGGTCTTGCTGGGGGTGGTCCTGCTCGGGCTGCTGTCTCTGGGGGTGCTGAGCCTGGGGGTGTAGAGTCTGGGGGTGCTAAGCCTGGGCGTGAGGAGCCTGGAGGTGTGGAGCCTGGGGGTGCGGAGTCTGAGGGTACTGAGCCTGAGCGTAAGGAGCTTGAGCGTGCTGAGCCTAGAGGTGCTGAGCCTGAGCGTGAGGAGCCTAGAGGTATTACGCCTGGGGGTGCTGCGTCTGGGGGTGCTGAGCCTGAGCGTGAGGAGCCGGGGGGTGCGGAGTCTGGGGGTGCGGCGCCTTAGGGTGCTGAGACTGCTGGTGCGCGGTCTCCTTGGAGTGGCCGCCTTCGTCCGCGTGCGCCTCTCTCCCCTCAGCAGCTGCAGAGTGGTACGCTCGCCGTCAGGTCGCGCTGCTGGAGCTCGGGGCTCTGCCTCTGGAGGTACTTCTGCTGTCGTCGCTGGAGCTGGGAGTGGTATACTGGTACTTTGTCTACTGGAGGTGCTGGAGTCGCTGGTCCCGGAGGTGCTCGTACTAGAGGTACTAGAGCTGCTGGGGCTGGAGGTGCTGCGTCTGGGGGTGCTACTGTTGGAGACACTGAGGCTGAAGACACTGGGACTGGAGGTGCCAGTTTTGAGGGTGCAGCTGGAGACACTGAGGCTGGAGACCTTGGGACTGGAGGTGCTGGTTCTGGGGGTGCTGCTGCTGAAGACACTGAGGCTGGAGACCCTGGGACTGGAGGTGCCGGTTCTGGGGGTGCTGCTGCTGCTGACGCTGGTCCTGGAGATGCTGGCGCTGGAGCCTTTGGAGCTGCTGGTGGAGCTGGTGATGGAGGTGCTGGCGCTGGAGGTTCTGGAGCTGCTGGAGGTGCTGGAGCTGCTGGCAGTACTGGAGCTGCTGGAGGTGCTGGAGCTACTGGTGCTGGTGGCACTGCACAGCCGCGACTATTCTTCGCTCCGCCGTCTCCGTCGTCTCAGCCACCGCCTGGCTCTGTGCTTTGCCAGGTTCTTAGCCTCCCGTCTTCTACTGGTCTTCCGTTACAGCCTGGCTCACCGCTGCCTGCTCCTTCTCCTTACACTGAGCAGCCAGGGGGTCTTGCTGAGCGTCGTGTGCCTGCGTCGCGTCTTGTCTCGCCTGTTCGTTCTGGTCGTACCGGTAGTCGTGTTCCTCGTCCGCGTCCGCCGGCTGTCTCCGGCACGCACCTCATGGCCCTTCATCCTTCCTCTGCTCCGCAGCGTGTTCCTCTGCCGTCTCCCCCTGCGTCCTCTCTGCCTGACGTTGCCGACACTGAGTCCGGCCAGTTTCGTGCTGCACACCCTACTGTCACGCGTCTGTTAGCCACTGTTGTCACTGACCCGTCGTTTGAGTCTGCTGCTGCGTCTGCCTTGGTTGTTGAGCTTGTTGACTTTGCTGCTGCCTGTCGTCTAGAATACGGTGCTAGTCTTGTTGCTGAGTCTGAGTCTGTCTGTCCTCCGTCTGTCGGGGGTGAGTGTGCTCTTGGCATGGACGTCCTTGAGGACAGACAGGAGGACTTTGAGTGTCTTGCGGCCGCTTTGCCTCATCTCGTGGTCATGCTGCTTGCCCCTGAGGGAGACCCGGATGCACCAGAAAACCGCCGCGCGCCTCGGGGCGACATTGTGATCCACCCTGAGCTTGTTCTGCTTTGCTTGCTCTGCTGATTACACCCCACTTTGGCTATGGGGGTGTGTCAGAATGTTATGCTCTAGCCTGTAGTGGGGTGCTCTATAGCGAGTACAACCCTTCTAGGGTTTGCTATTTGTATCCCCATTCTTGCTAGTTCAATCCTCTTCTTTCTTCTTAATCTTTCACAGCCATTGCTTACTGAAACAGCACGCGTGATAGATTTCGCACGATTGCCTGACAAGGCTCGCTGAAACAGCACGTGCCAAAGATTTCGCGCGACCGATTCATTGAACAGCAATGTAATTTTCCGAGTCCGAAAAACAGCGTTTATAACGAAATCGCTTGCATGGACCAGTTTGACAAGGGGTCACCCTGATAGAGGTCCGTAGGAACACGCTCTCACACATCGATCCTGATCGATGTTTCAATTGTGACGCATCCTAAGAGAGGGCGAGGGGGGAATGGGAGGCGGGGAAGGTATTGTGTGTGCGCTAGGCTGACTGGGAAGGTGGTTCTGCGAAGGTGGCGCAGTTTGAGTGAATACAGTGACATTTGAATGCATTACATCCTTGATGCATTTGGTCAAGTCTCTACACTGTCAAACTTCCAAATGCCTTACCAAAGCAATTTCTCCACTCCCTATCCAACCCTCCCCCTGTTGTGCTAAAGCAACTAGACACCGCACCAGTCTCTGCACCTACGTCGTGAACCTCATGGATCTCATCCTGAGCCAGAAATCGTTTTGGGATGCTCTGGTAATGACGAAGTCAGAAAGGGAGGGAGGGGAGTGGAAGGAAGGAAAGCAAGAGTGAAAAGGGGAGGGAAAGACGTGAAAGGCGATTGGTGCACACAAAGTACGGTAAGAAGCCACTCACCTGATGAGTTGTGCAAATAAAGGAGTGATTGGCATTCCCCTGTCAAGCAGAAGCTCCCCCGTACAGTTGTTGCCGGTCCAGTATTCGCGTGACCTGAAGAGCGGCGTGCCGTCGTTTGTATTGAACACTAAGTATCGTCTCGTGAAGTTGCCTACCCTCTCCTTGGGAACTGGCGTGCATGTATTGATGTTGGCACGCACAGTGTACGGGCGGGATCCACCGTCTCTTACTCGGTCGCTATCGAACGTCATACTAGCTGCTCCCACCGTAGACACGCCACCTGGATAATGTGTGGTGGAAGCGGCAAGCGGGGCACAAAAAAGTGGACTGTTCATGCGCTTGGCCTGGTTGCCCGATCTCTAGCAGAAATGTGAAGCAGTGAAGTGCGGATGCTGTATTGCTGGAACCACTGTAGCACACTCATGCCGCCGAATGCAGGCCCACCTGTCAGGCGCACGTATGGGCCATCCAGTTGGCGGCAGACTACATGCAGTAATTCACATGCAGTAATTCACATGCAGTAACTCACATGCAGTAATTCACATGCAGTAATTCACATGCAGTAAAGCACATGCAGTAATTCACATGCAGTAATTCACATGCAGTAATTCACATGCAGTAATTCACATGCAGTAATTCACATGCAGTAATTCACATGCAGTAATTCACATGCAGTAATTCACATGCAGTAATTCACATGCAGTAATTCACATGCAGTAATTCACATGCAGTAATTCACATGCAGTAATTCACATGCAGTAATTCACATGCAGTAGGGCACATGCAGTAAGGCACATGCAATAAGGCACATGCAATAAGGCACATGCAGTAAGGCACATGGCACATGCAGTAAGGTACATGCAGTAAGGGACATGCAGTAAGGTACATGCAGTAAGGGACATGCAGTAAGGCACATGCAGTGAGGCACATGCAGTAAGGTACATTCTGTAAGGGACATGCAGTAAGGCACATGCAGTAAGGCACATGGCACATGCAGAAAGGCACATGCAGTACAGCACTGTGTTTCATCCAGCCTCAGGGTAGTGGTACCTCACCTTTGATGCAAGCGTCTTGAGTCATGCCATAGCCAGCAGGACACACGCAGTACGGAGCAAGGGAATTTTCCATTATTTCGAGTGTGGTATTGCAGGTGGCTCCAGTGGGGCACCTGCCACATGGCGTGTCTGAGAAACGCAGTAGAGGCAAGAGAGGGTGCAGCAGGGCAGTTTCATTAAAGGTGGGCAAGAATAGGAAGCGCCTTTGTTTTTAAAACAAAGGCAAGCAGTAAGTATCAATGCAGTGGTAAATCAGCATGAAATCACACCGTCCCATGACAGGCCCATGTGCGTCGAGGTCGTTCTTGAGGCGCCTCAAAAGCAACAGGCCCATGTGCGTCACACCATACTAGCACATGCCTCGTCCAGTGCTACTTACCCCATTTACAATAGAGCAATCCAGTGCTGTTATCCTTTGCACAAGTCCCACCCGGCGAGCAGCCTAGAGCAAAGCATTTAGAATCTGAAACACAGAGATGGGAGTATAGCAGGTGTGTGACGAGTGCAGAGAAGGAAGGAGAGATAAGAAGATACGACAGAAAAGGCTACGAGGAGAATGGAAGCGAAAAGAATTGCAGCACAGGAGTACCTCTCAACACAAGAGCTCACCTAAACACAGGATCACCTTTGATCACAAGAGCCATTTGAAGGACTGAGTTTCAAAAGCAAGGCATGCCCTCTGTGTTGCACCCCTCTGACTCACCAATGCAAGAGAGCTTGTCAAAAGACAGCTTAAAGCCAGTGCTGCAACTACAGGATGGATTTCCGTTCGCATCCCTCGTGCAGTTGCCACCAGGCCCACATTTCACCGCATCACAGTTGTCTGCAGAAAAAAGAGACCCATGCAAATGGACGAATACCATGATGCAACGAATACCCTGATTTTGACAACCGAGCGACAAAGTCAAGTATGCACGCAATTCAGTAACTCTTGCAAAAATTTTGGGCTGAGGGAGGCCAAGTTTCAAGGACTGGTTTTGACACGCAAGACGACACATCACACGCCCTCTGTGTTGCACACTCTCAAACTCACCAATGCAAGAAAGCTTGTCAGAAGACTGCTTGAAGCCTGTGTTGCAACTACAGGATAGATTTCCTTCTGCATCCCTCGTGCAGTTGCCGCCAGGCCCACACTTCACTCCATCACAGTTGTCTGCAGAATACAAAAACAATGCAGATGGAAGGATATTATGATATCACAAAAATTATAATACTCGAACCTTAACAATACAAGGTCACAAGTTAAAAAATGTCTCATATGGGTATCACTTGCAAGGAAATTGAGTTGTGGGAGGGACAAGATTCAAGAACATTGTTTGAGACGCAAGGCACGCCCCCTGTGTTGCACACTCTTCAACTCACCAATGCAAGAGAGCTTGTCAGAAGACGGCATGAAGCCAGCGCTGCAAATACAGGATGGATCTCCGTTCGCATCCCTCGTGCAGTTGCCGCCAGGCCCACACTTCACGGCATCACAGTTGTCTGCAGAAAAGGAAACACATGCAATTTCAAGAATATCATATTATAAAAAAAAACTTCAATACCCAGATATGGACAATCAAGGGTTACAAAGTCAAGTGTGCATGCAATTTAGTAACAATCGTAAGGAAATCAAGTTGTAGGGAGGCCAAGTTTTACAGTTGCCAAGTTGCACTCCACCAACTCACCAATGCAAGAGAGCTTGTCAGAAGACGGCGTGAAGCCAGCGCTGCAACTACAGAATGGATCTCCGTTCGCATCCCTCTCGCAATTGCCGCCAGGCCCACAATTCACGGCATCACAGTTGTCTGCAGAGAAGCAACCCAGACAAATGGTAGGATGTTGTGATATAAAAACACAGCCATCACAAAATCTTGACAATCAAGGGTCAAAGATTGGAAGAAATTCAGTAACATCTGGAAAACCCATGACCTGAAAATAAACGAGGTTAATATGACTGGGTTTCAAATGCAAAGCACCCTCTTTTCTTGTCTTGCACTCCTCCAACTCACCAATGCAAGAGAGCTTGTCAGAAGACAGCGTGAAGCCAGCGCTGCAACTACAAGATGGATCTCCATTCGCATCCCTCTCGCAGTTGCCGCCAGGCCCACACTTCACGGCATCACAATTGTCTGCAAAGAAGCAACCCAGACACGTGGTAGGAGATTGTAATATCATCAAAGTAGTCAGATTTATATGATTGGATTATATATGCAATGCACCCTCTCTCTCTGTGTTGCACTCCTCCAACTCACCAATGCAAGAGAGCTTGTCAGAAGACGGCGTGAAGCCAGCGCTGCAACTACAGGATGGATCTCCGCTCGCATCCCTCGTGCAGTTGCCGCCAGGCCCACACTTCACGGCATCACAATTGTCTGCAAAGAAGCAACCCACGCAGATGGTAGGATATTGTGATATCACAAACACAGTCATTACCAGATCTTGACAATCAAGGGTCAAATATTTGAAGGCATTCACTAACATCTGGAAAGCCCATGACCTGAAAATAAGCGAGGTTAATATGACTGGGTTTGAAATGCAAGGCACCCTCTTTTCTTGTCTTGCACTCCTCCAACTCACCAATGCAAGAGAGCTTGTCAGAAGATGGTGTGAAGCCAGCGCTGCAACTACAGGATGGATCTCCGTTCGCATCCCTCTCGCAATTGCCGCCAGGCCCACAATTCACGGCATCACAGTTGTCTGCAGAGAAGCAACCCAGACAAATGGTAGGATATTGTGATATAAAAACACAGCCATCACAAAATCTTGACAATCAAGGGTCAAAGATTGGAAGAAATTCAGTAACATCTGGAAAACCCATGACCTGAAAATAAACGAGGTTAATATGACTGGGTTTCAAATGCAAAGCACCCTCTTTTCTTGTCTTGCACTCCTCCAACTCACCAATGCAAGAGAGCTTGTCAGAAGACAGCGTGAAGCCAGCGCTGCAACTACAAGATGGATCTCCATTCGCATCCCTCTCGCAGTTGCCGCCAGGCCCACACTTCACGGCATCACAGTTGTCTGCAAAGAAGCAACCCGGACAGGTGGTAGAAGGTTGTAATATCATAAAAGTAGTCAGGTTTATATGACTGGATTATAAATGCAAGGCACCCTCTCTCTCTGTTTTGCACTCCTCCAACTCACCAGTGCAAGAGAGCTTGTCAAGGTTCAAAGAGTTGAATACACTTTCAACTCAGAAAGTCTTGCATGAAATATGAGCTGAAGGGAGGAAAGTTTTAAGGATTGGGGTCGATACGCAAAAGTTACGTCATCCGTGTTGCACTCCTCCAACTCACCAATGCAAGAGAGCATGTCAGAAGACGGCGTGAAGCCAGCGCTGCAACTACAGGATGGATCTCCGCTCGCATCCCTCGTGCAGTTGCCGCCAGGCCCACACTTCACCGCATCACAGTTGTCTGCAGAAGAAAACGACAATGAAAATGGAAGGATCAAGGGTCACAACATCAAGTATGCACGCAATTCAATAACATTCGCCACAAAATCAAGTTCTAGAAAGGCCAAGTTTCAAGGACTGGATTTGAAACGCAGCGCACGCCCTCTGTGTTGCACTCCTCCAACTCACCAATGCAAGAGAGCTTGTCAGAAGACGACGTGAAGCCAGCGCTGCAACTACAGGATGGATCTCCGTTTGCATCCCTCTCGCAGTTGCCGCCAGGCCCACACTTCACGGCATCACAATTGTCTGCAAAGAAGCAACCCGGGCAGGTGGTAGGATATTGTAATATAAAAAAGACAGTCATTACCAATTGACAATGAGACGATGAGAATTATGCTGAGCGTCAGAAGCCTGTGTGTTGACCTATACAAAGATATCACAAATGGAGTTGGGTAATAAGATATCGTGCGATCGATAATGCGTCTCACCCCCCCTGTAACACACAGGTATGGCTGTCTAGATGTTTCTTACCAGTTGGCACTGTAAATGATGAAAAGGGTCAACGTCCATGGGGGTTAGAACAAACGAAATTGCGCAACTAATAACTCCTATACCAGATTTGCAAAGCATTGCGCAACTAATAACTCCCTCCCTCCCTCCCTCCCTCCCTCCCTCCCTCCCTCCCTCACTCCCTCACTCCCTCACTCCCTCACTCCCTCACTCCCTCACTCCCTCACTCCCTCACTCCCTCACTCCCTCACTCCCTCACTCCCTCACTCCCTCACTCCCTCACTCCCTCACTCCCTCACTCCCTCACTCCCTCACTCCCTCACTCCCTCACTCCCTCACTCCCTCACTCCCTCACTCCCTCACTCCCTCACTCCCTCTCTCCCTCTCTCCCTCTCTCCCTCACTCCCTCACTCCCTCACTCCCTCACTCCCTCACTCCCTCACTCCCTCACTCCCTCACTCCCTCACTCCCTCACTCCCTCACTCCCTCACTCCCTCACTCCCTCACTCCCTCACTCCCTCACTCCCTCACTCCCTCACTCCCTCACTCCCTCACTCCCTCACTCCCTCACTCCCTCACTCCCTCACTCCCTCCCTCCCTCCCTCCCTCCCTCCCTCCCTCCCTCCCTCCCTCCCTCCCTCCCTCCCTCCCTCACTCCCTCACTCCCTCACTCCCTCACTCCCTCACTCCCTCACTCCCTCACTCCCTCACTCCCTCACTCCCTCACTCCCTCACTCCCTCACTCCCTCCCTCCCTCCCTCCCTCCCTCCCTCCCTCCCTCCCTCCCTCCTCCCTCCCTCCCTCCCTCCCTCCCTCCCTCCCTCCCTCCCTCCCTCCCTCCCTCCCTCCCTTCGTCCCTCGCTCGCTCCCTCCGTCCCTCCCTCCGTCCCTCCCTCCCTCCCTCCCTCCGTCCCTCCCTCCCTCCCTCCCTCCCTCCCTCCCTCCCTCCCTCCCTCCCTCCCTCCCTCCCTCCCTCCCTCCCTCCCTCCCTCCCTCCCTTCGTCCCTCCCTCCCTCCCTTCGTCCCTCGCTCGCTCCCTCCGTCCCTCCCTCCGTCCCTCCCTCCCTCCCTCCCTCCGCCCCTCCCTCCCTCCCTCCCTCCCTCCCTCCCTCCCTCCCTCCCTCCCTCCCTCACTCCCTCACTCCCTCACTCCCTCACTCCCTCACTCCCTCACTCCCTCACTCCCTCACTCCCTCACTCCCTCCCTCCCTCCCTCCCTCCCTCCCTCCCTCCCTCCCTCCCTCCCTCCCTCCCTCCCTCCCTCCCTCCCTCCCTCCCTCCCTCCCTCCCTCCCTCCCTCCCTCCCTCCCTCCCTCCCTCCCTTCGCCCCTCCCTCCCTCCCTTCGCCCCTCGCTCGCTCCGTCCGTCCCTCCCTCCCTCCCTGATTCCCCCACCTATTATTCTTCCCTCTTTCCCTCACAACGTGTCTGGATGGTTGGTTATCACGCCAGTCTCACAAACTGGAGGTCTCCGGTTCGCTTCCGGGTTCAGACAGGTTCTTCGTCTCCAACAATCTTGTGCACATTTTGCCACACGAGGTATCTCAGCAGCGTACCTTGGATTGGCAGGTGCCATTCAACGCAGCAAAGCCCGGGTTGCACTTTTGAGGCGCCTCAAAAGTACCTTGGCAAGTGCCATTCCTTGCAACAAAGCCCGAATTGCATGCACAGGTGACTTTTGAGTCGACTCAGAAGGCAAAAGGAGAGACGATGTATCTCTAGCAGCATACCATGGCAAGTGCCATTCCTTGCAGCAAAGCCCGGGTTGCATGCACAGGTGACGCCCTTGCTGTCACTCGTTGGCATGCACGTGGAGTTGCTCGGACACGTGGCGTGCTGGCAGGTGACGTCTGCCATGTCATGGGGAGCAGCAGCAGCAGGGATGCGTGCAGCGAGGAAGGTAAAACCATGGGCATGGAGTTATTAACGCAAAACACTCGTTTGCAGATGCTGTGTGCGGCAAGGTGGCAAGGTGAGATGGTGGAAAAGGAGGCAAGGAAGCAAGGTGACAAGGAGGCAAGGAGGCAAGGTGACAAGGAGACTAGGAGGCGAAGAGGCACAGTGGCACGCACCAGACTTGCAGGAAACAGAAGTCCAGCGAGAGACCGTCTTTGTGCTGCAAGGACGTCAGGAGCACATTCAGATCAGACGTTGCGAAACACGTCTAGATCAGGCATTAGGAACACTATCAGAGAGGATGTTAGAAAAACGTTGGGCTGGCAAAACCCGAGGCTTGACAGTGGCATTGGTAGAGAACACTCACCCACCAGCCCCAATCACCCACCAGCCCCAATCACCCACTAGCCCCAATCACCCACCAGCCCCAATCACCCACCAGCCCCAATCACCCACCAGCCCCAATCACCCACCAGCCCCAATCACCCACCAGCCCCAATCACCCACCAGCCCCAATCACCCACCAGCCCCAATCACCCACCAGCCCCAATCACCCACCAGCCCCAATCACCCACCAGCCCCAATCACCCACCAGCCCCAATCACCCACTAGCCCCAATCACCCACCAGCCCCAATCACCCACTAGCCCCAATCACCCACCAGCCCCAATCACCCACCAGCCCCAATCACCCACTAGCCCCAATCACCCACCAGCCCCAATCACCCACCAGCCCCAATCACCCACCAGCCCCAATCACCCACTAGCCCCAATCACCCACCAGCCAACAGCCATCACCCGCCTGCCCTCATCCACCTGCGCCCATCCACGTGGCTCTGACCCACGTGCCCCCATGACCCACGTGCCCCCTAACCCACGTGCCCCCATGACCCACGTGCCCCAACGATCCACGTGGCCCCACGACCCACCTGGGCACGTTGAAGAATCTGCGCAGGCCGGCGTATTGCGGCTTGAGCACCTCATCCAGCGCCTTGCCCTTGCAGGCGGGGTTGGCAAAGAACTTGAGTTGCTTGCACGCCGCCCCCGCCTGCCCATCCGTGCCTGCCTCCTTCTCTCGCGAACCCCCTCCGCCCTTGCTACCGCCCTTGCTACTGCGGCCTTTGTTGCCGCCCGCAAGGCCGTTCCACCACACCTGCACGTCCCGCCCCGCCTTGAGAGCCCTGAGCGCGGCCTTGGGAAAGCTGAAGCAGCGGAGGGCGTCGAAGGTGACGTTGAGGCTGACGCCCGACACCGTGATCTGCGTGCCCACCGCCACGCTCGCCTCCACCGCCCCGCCGCCGCTGCCAATCCCCACGCCCACCCCCACCCGCGTGCTCCCGTTTCTGCTTCCCACTGTGCTTTCGATTCTGAGGCTTCTGGCAGACATAGCATCGGCTGCGCCGCCGACGCCGCGCACTCGCGCGCGCGCGATATTAGTAAGGCGATCCGCGCGTTCGCCTGCCGCCGCGTGAGCCGTGACGATCGCTGGATGCAGAGGGGCGGTTTAGGGTGGGAGGTGAGCGGGAGGGAGCGGAAGGGTGCTAGGAGGGGCAGATTTTCGCGCCTCTCAACATGAGAGAAAACGGAATCGAGCCGAAGTTAGACAAGGATGGAATGGCTTTCCGCAGATAACGGCAAGGACGAGGAAGAAGCAGGAGAGAGTGGACATGGCGACTCGAAGCTCACCGCAGATGACGGCAAGGATGAGGAGCAGAAGAAGCGCGGCGGGATTGGAGGCCATGATGGGTAGCACCCACAACCGAGTCACGAGTGTCGCGCGTTCGTCGACAACCGACAAGCTCTGGGTGACGCGACCGCTTGTCGCACGCCGCGTACGCACGGGCAATGACTAGCGCAATGCTAGGAAAAGATGGTCGTGATACAATATTGTTGAGATGGTACAACACGAGGCTAGTGGTAGATAATAGTAGCATACAGGTACATAACAGTAAGAACTTCTTAAAATGTGTTGGTAAGTAGCCTGCTGACGTTGCTATCATACAGCACGACAGATGCGGCGGAAGAGATGTTGCCATGGCTGCTCTGGCGGGTGGTTTATAGATGAATCCGGGAGCCTAACGCTCAAGGTTGACAGTCCCCGCAGGAGGCGCTAGTACTAGGAACGCGATCGTGTGGCTGGAATGGGTCGCATAGTTGTGACTTGTTGGTTCGGAGGCTTTGTGCTGAAAAACAAGTTGGCGCTGACTCGATGAAGCGAGGAACGCGGCGGCAGCTGATGAATGTTGGTAGAGCTTGACATAACTGAGGTAACAGCGTCGCAGCCTATCACAGCGCAAGCAGCTGAATTATTGCGAGTCTGACTCTGCCCGCAAGCTTCGCTGCTGTAACAAATTCGCCGCTCGCACGGCCTTTTCTCCCGCATGATCGCGCTTCCTGCGATCAGCCCTCCCTCGGCGATATTCGCAGAGAACTCTAGTGCGATATGCAATCAGGGGACAACTTCAGTTTTGACGAAATGCAGTGGGTACTCGGCAGGCGACAAAGGCAGGTCGCGATAGATTTGCGACATCTTCCTAGTTACGGGCATCTTGCTTACTGGCCAGCTCGCTTGCAGAAGTTGCTTCAAGTAGAGAGAACATAAAAATCACTAAATACAACAATAACATACTGACTGACACACAATATGTTCTCAAACATGTTCTCTAGCTCTCCAGCCATGGATCTTGTCAGGCTTATTAGAAGCTTCCATGCTAACCATTCAGTGGTTCTGAGTACACTACTAGTAGTACTGCATTTGTCTGAACAAGCTTCGCAAACATAACTCTTGGTTTGTGCCATCCTGTTCTAATGAAAGACTTTAGTGAGGCCCGGGACGGGACTGTTTTTTATTCGAGGAATTATGGTAACCAGATCAAATACGCTGTTAGATCAGCCCTGCTTCCAACCTCCTAAACATAGCAATTTCTCCACTACATAAGTCAACTCCTCGTGTCGTGCCTAGAACACCTCGTGTTGTGACTGCCTGCACCAGTCCCTGCAAATACTGCCTGTACCTGTCCCTGCAGCTAATTCCCGCACCAGATGGAACTGATATTGCCACTAATCTCACCACTGCTTAGCAGTGAACCAGAAGGGGAGGGAAGGGAGTGAAAAGGAGGGAAAGGAAGAGTAAAAAGGGGAGGGGATGAAACAGTGGGAAAGAGGAGGGAAAGAAGTGAATGGCGATTGGTGCACAGAAAGCAAACAGTGGGAAAGGAGGAACGCAGGTGAGGGATACGTCAACAGAACATCTGGGGCATTGTTGTCTTTCCAGAATGACTTAGGTGACTCACTTGGTGAAGACTGTACAGTAAGAAACGGTTGAAAGAGGCCCCGCAGACACAAGTTTCCCAGAACAGTTGCTGCCCGCCCAGAGCCGGAAAGTGTTGCACCGCAGCGTGCCATTCATATTGTACACGCCGTATCGTGTCTTGTAGTTTCCAGCCACCTCCTTGGGAAGATCCGTGCACCCATCCAGGTTGGCGCGCACGGTGTACGGCCGGGATGCCTTGTCCAGAGCCTTGGGATCCTGGATGAGCGTTATGCTCGCTGCTCCCACTGTAGACTTGCCGCCTGGGAATACAAGGTGGAAGTGGAGCACATGTGGAGTAGTCGCTAAGTAAGGAGAGGGTTGTGAATGCGCTGACTCTGGATGTCTCTGGATGCCTCTGGATGCCTCTAGATGCTTCTGGATGCCTCTGGATGCCTCTGGATGCCTCTGGATGCCTCTGGATGCCTGTGGATGCTTCTGGATGCCTCTGGATGCTTCTGGATGCCTCTGGATGCCTCTGGATGCCTCTGGATGCCTCTGGATGCCTCTGGATGCCTCTGGATGCTTCTGGATGCCTCTGGATGCCTCTGGATACCGCTGGATGCCTCTGGATGGCTGGCCTTCGGTAGGAATGTGAACCAGTCAACTGTGGATGCTGCCCGGATGCAACCACTGCAGCAAAGGTGGCAGTGCACTCAAGCCGCCCCATGCAGGCCCACTTGTGAGGCGCATGTTTAGTTTACATATGCAGTGGGATACATGCAGTGAGGCGCATGCAGTAAGGCACATCGAGTAAGGCACATGGAGTAAACCACATGATGCAGTAAGGCACGTGAATTAAGGCACCATGTCTCAGGGAAGTGGTGTCACACCTTCAATGCAGGCATCTTGGGTCATGCCATAGCCGCCAGGACACACGCAGTATGGAATCGGGTTGCCTGCCTTGGAAGGTGTGGTCTTGCAGGTGGCTCCCATGGGGCAATTGCCACACGGCGAGTCTAAAAGTGGCAGCATAGGCAAGAGAAGGTGCGGCAGGGCAGTAAAAAGACACACTGGGTTAGGTTGGGGACAAGGTTTGTTTTGTCACGAGCAAGTGTGGTCTTGCACCTGTGATAGGGCAATAGAGAGTGCGATAGGGCAGTGCAGAGTTACAATAGGTTCGTTGAAGATGCGCAAGGATGGGAAAACCTGAAAGGTGTTTTGGGTTGACTCAAAATGAGTCGTGCATTGAGTCGACTCAGAGCAGAGTGCGGTAGGGCAGTGCAGAGTCACAATAGACTCGTTGAAGATGGGCAAGTATGGGAAAAAACTGAAAGGTGAAGCGTTGCTGCCCAGCATGACAAGTAGTAAGACTCAATGCCGTGGAAAAAAGCATGAAATTAACACCAGTCCGTGACAGGCCAGCCACACCATGGTAGCACATGCCCCCTCCCATGATGGCTGCTCACCCCATTTGCAGTAGCGCACATTCATGCCCATCTGCTTCAGACAAGTCCCACCCGGTGACTCAGGTGTCAACTCAAAAGTCACATGCCCCCTCCCATGATGGCTGCTCACCCTATTTGCAGTAGCGCACGTTCGTGCCCATCTGCTTCAGACAAGTCCCACCCGGCGAGCAACCCAAAGCCAAGCAGACAACATCTGAAACATAAGCACAGCAGATGTGACGTGTGCAGCCAAGGAAGGATTGGTGTGAAGATAGGATGGGAATCGGTATGAACACAAAATCACCTTTGAACACAGGAGCACCTTTGAAAACAGGAGAGCAATTGTTTCTGATGCAAGCGTCACAAGAAATGATCTGTTGCATTGAGGAATGAAAACGAGTCAACAACAACAAAAAGAATGCAATCAAGCAACATGCGAACGTTGTGCTGAGATAGATTTTGGACAGGAGAACTGAGGCAACAAGAACAAAACACTGCAGGCCTGCTTTTGGGTTTCGAAGCAC